TGAGTCATTCTGACGAATACCATCAGCCTCCGAGGTCGTATCTACCCCAGAAATCACACACTCCACCCTTCCCTGCCGCAGACTTCCCCTTCTGGCCATACAGGGCCCCATTTGCTCCCTCTGTCTCTTTTCCCCCAGAGAGGAGGCTCATTCTTGCCGGGCCGGGGAGGAGAGTAGGAGGCCGTGAGGTCTCTGGTGCTCATTGCACACTGGCATTCTGAGTGGCCCCTCAGGAGGATACTGACCCATCACCTCCCCCTTGGAAATAAAGATAAATAAGACATGGCAATGGCCACAGTAAATTTAAGGATAAGTAAAGAAATGACTGTAAGACCCTTGTCTAAGGGGATATGCGTAAAAGTGGCTAAAGGATAGAGGGATCAACAAGAGATAGCAGGCATGGGTGGCAGAGAATGGTCAAGAGGGCTGAGACTAGAAGAGTAGGCCAAGCTCAGTTCTATTTTTTTTAAGAGTTTATTCTTTTTTTTTTTTAATTGATTTTTTTACAGAGAAGAAGGGAGAGGAATAGAGAGTTAGAAACATCGATTAGAGAGATCGATCAGCTGCCTCTTGCACACCCGCTACTGGGGATGTGCCCGCAACCAAGGTACATGCCCTTGATCAGAATCGAACCTGGGACCCTTCAGTCCGCAGGCCAACGCTCTATCCACTGAGCCAAACCGGTTTGGCAGCTCAGTTCTATTTTGACCTGTTGGTAACACGCCCCCCCCCCCCCCCCCCGGCCCGGTGGAAACCAAATGATAACCTGAGGAGATCAGCACACGTGTCACATGTCAGTGGGGGTTCCCCTGTGACCCCACAGTGAGAGAGGAAACTCTCGGTATCTAAAACCTGCGAAGGTGGCCAGTGGGAGCGGGTCGGGACCAGAGTGGAAGCAGGAAGATCTGGCCTGAAATGGACAAGAGGGGCTGGCAGCCATTCTCTCAGGTAACCAGTCAATCCACTTTCCAGGCATTTAATCTACTTTGCTAACTGCCGAGGGAAGTGAAAGAGAATGCCCAAAACCAGGAGCTGGCGTTGCAGCAAAATTCACAGCTCACGCTGTCCGGGTTCCTGTCCTGGCTCTGCCCCAACCAAGAGTGGCCACCCCTTAGTGAGAGCCTAGAATATGCTGGACATTGACAGACGATATTTCACTTACTCCTCACAACAGCCCTGAAGGGTGGAAGTCATTACCTACCTATCTCTAAACCCCTATTTACCTATCTATCCACAAATAAGAAAACCAAGGCTCACAAAAGCTTTGCCTACAGACCCCTGAGCAGGCTGGCTGGCTCTGTCTGCTCCAATGAGCACTGTTCTCTCATTTGTGGTATGTTACTCTGTGCTCTGAAACACATTACATGGCTCAGCCTCTCTGGACCCGAGCCCTCACCTGCAAATTCAAAGGACTGGATTAAGTGGTTCTTAGAGGCCTCCCTACCCCTGAAACTCTAGATATAAATGGAGAAAAAAGCAACTGCAGAAAGCAAGGGCTACATTGGCGGCAGCGGCGGCAGGGGCGGGCGGGCGGGGGAGGGTGTTGGGGGTGGCACGAGGGACACAGGTTTTAGTGTTATGGGAGTTTTAGGAGACATGGCAGGTGGGGGCTGAAGAAGACAGAAAGGAGAAAGGCTGTGGAGGCAGAGGAGGGGGAGTCAGGCGCGGCATCAGTGTGAGGAGGAGCCCTGGAAAGGCCATGAAGGCCCTGTTCCTGTCAGGCTGTCCCAAGGCCATGATCTTAAGAGACTGAGACACACAGCCCTCACCTCACTCACGCCTACAAGACAGGCAGAGCTGGCCCAGCCCAAACACAGGCTATTTTTGTCGCTGTGTTGTTTGGAGAGAAACCAGGCCAGAAATAGTGCTGTGAATTAGTAGGACCCTGTCCTTCCACCCCCAGCTCTCCCAGTGAAATCACCAAGAATCAGGAGGCCTGCTCCAACATTCCAGGGAGGCTGTGTAACTGAGAGGAGGCAGCCCTCTCCTCCTCACAGGAAGGCTTGGAACAGACATTTGACTGTAAAAGGGATTCTGGAAAAGGAGAGGGAACGAGGCATTGAGTCATAGAGAGTAGAAAAGAAAGAGCGGAGAAATGGGAGTGAGCTCGGGAGGCTGCGGCTTGAGGGGACCTGGGGAAGGAAGGGGGATAACCCCACAGATGGCTGGTTGAACAGAAGAGATCGAGAAAAGGAAAGTGGAAAAGAGGGCAGATGGTTGGTATTGGGAGCGCAACGGAGAAGCAAAGGGGAAGAGCCACGCGCAGGCCAGAGTGCAGCTGGAGGGCAGGAGGTGAAGGGTTGGAGGTTGACATCAGTGGCCCTGAGGCCCAAACTGAAGCAGGGCTCCTGGGGCATGGGTGTGTGGGTGTGTGTGGGGGGGTGGGGGAGGGTCAGTAACGGAAAATGTGAGTCTGAGTCTGGTCTAGTCACGAACCACCTGCAGAAGGACAGATGGAAACATCTTCCCAGTTGGCTGGAAACTGGAACTTCCCCCAAAATCCACAGCCCTACAACTCATCCTCTTATCTCTGACTCTCCCGGAATCAGAGATCCAGCTATTTCAACAGCAGGGACTTTTCTCTTTCTGTCTATTTGACCCCTTACAAAAGAGCCAAGGCTTGAAAGAGGGGATTGGGTCAAGGAGGTTAGTTGGGGTTCAGGGAAAGGAGAGAAAGTGACAACCCCTTGAGTCAGGTCAGATTCTGAGAAAGGCATTGCAGGGAGGTCTCCTGGGGGGCAGTGGGTGGTCAGGCAGCACCATGTGGAAGGTCTCCAGAGGACAGACAAGGTCAAAGCAAGGCCATTTCACAGGGAGGGGCAGGAGGGACCACAGTCCAGTCTGGTTTTAGGTCATCTAGTGGCCCTAGCTCATCAGAAACTCTGGCATGGAACTTGGTTACACGAGGCTTTGCCTCATTTTCTAATACACATCCAGATGCTTACAAGTCCCTTCTAGTTTAGGAAAAGACCCCTAAGTAAGTCAGCCCTTTCTGTTTCCAATGTATAGTACCCCCTCTCCCTCCAGTAGGACACAGAGCTGCTCCCGGGCTCCTGAGCCTGAGAACAGAGTGTCTTTTCTGGAATGGCATCAGGATCGTCCATCAGGTCAGCAGGGGGACAGAATTGGTCACAGCGCTGGCAGGGCCATCCACAGAAAATAGCAGGGGCCTTTACGGCTGAGGCCCGGCAAGGCCACGGACAAGAGCTACTGGAATAGCCGGTGGAGCGGGGGAGGAAGCTCAGCTGGAGCAGCTGGAGAGGCCAGGCAGTGAGGTGCCAGGAGGGAGCAGTTTCTGACTGAGTCTCAACCCACTGCTCTTCCAACTTGGGACTTGGCAAACCCAACCCAGATTCCCAAGTCCCTGTCTCTCTCTGAGCCCCAAGGGTGTATGACAGGCACTGGGGGCATTTCTGGGGATAAAAGATGGGGGGCGGGGGCCTGGACTTCTGTCCTCTCCACCCAAGAGAAGTCAGGGTTGAATGCTTCTTCTTCTTGGTTAACCACTCTCTCAGGGACTCCAAACCACAACTAAGAAAAGGAAAAGGAATAAACAAGAAGCAACTACAAAAAAAAATAAATAAATAACTGCATGGGAACAGTCCTGTAATGGGTCGGTGATTCTAACTTTCCAACAGGGATTGTCTGTCCCTTTTTCCCTCCCACCCCCACCTGATTCCCAAGAGAAACAGGAGAAAACAAAGGCAGAATCAGAGTAAACTTGGGAAAGCCATCCAGCTGTGGTTGCCCTTGGTATCTGTTTACTAAAAAAAATCCAAAACAAATATCCTGACACTTCCACCCACTTATACTTCCTGTGAATCTGTTATTGGCTGTCTCCATGGATACTCCCACTTGAACACTACCACCTACATAAATCATGACAGTGTGTGGACCCCAGGTCAAGTGCACCATCTCTCTCCATCCCTCAGGACCCCTTGGCACTTAGCCACAACATCCAGGCCACATGGCCAAGGGTACCTGACCCTGCCAGGCCCCCAAATGCACTAGTCCAGTTCCACTCACTTGCCTCCAGCCAATTTCCACCTCTATAATATTCTTGGGTCACTCTTCCGCTTCAAACTCAATGCCCTAGGAGCACAACCCACAAACCAGCCAGGAATTGAAGCCCTCTTTTCTATCCCTACTTGTGCTGCTCCAGCCCTCCAATGTCTGCATCTGGAGGAAAAGAATAAGACTTAATTCTCCCCAGTCACAGTGAGCAGCTCAGAGAAACAAAACTTACATGTTGGGCTACTAATTCCTTGGCAAGACTTTACCTGAGTAACCCCTGGTCCTTCCACCACCCCACCCAGTACACCTCAAATCCCTGACAGACAAGGCTGTTTACACAAAAGAGAGCCTTCAGAGGCAGCTCAAGAGTCTGGACACGTGGGAGAGTCAGCCATGCATCATCTGCCACGACACTCTAAAAGGGAAGAGGGAAAGACTGGAGGGAGTCCTCTGCCAGGTTCATGTCTTAGACAGTCAAAATCCAGACAATCACATGGCACGCTCCGTGCCCTGTGGCCACTGGGATGTGGCCAAGAGGAGGGAGAGGCATTCTTCCTCAGCTACCGTGCACATGGTGTAGACAGACGATGCTGGCAGACAGAAGTCCACAGGATCCGTAGCTTCTTTGATAAATCTGTGGTGACCCATTTCCCCAAAGGAAAAAGAGGAAATGTAAAATGTTTTTCCCCCAAGCTGAGCACTGGGGGAGGTAATCTCAAACACTGGGCATTTCGGGCTGTCTGGCACTGCCAGGGGTCAGGCTGGCATAACATCCAAAGAGAGAGGGACACAGGTGGAAGGCAGCAAAATCAGGGGAGGCCCCTAGGTCAAGGCTGTGGTGGTTGCTCAATCGTTCCTGAGCCCTTTCACACGTACACATACACAGCAGCAGCACGCACACACATGCCTCAGGGAGTCAGACTTCCAAAGCCAGAAAGTAGGTGGGGCTGAGCTATGAGTTAATCTATTTCCTGCCCATTTCTGGTATAAAGGCAGGCAGCTGCCTCCCTAACAGCACAGCTGTGTTTGGCTGCAGGGCTAAGGACACTGTCAAGAGACACACCACTCTCCAGCAGCAACAGAATCACCACCATCTGCAGCAGCAGCTGGACAAACCACCATTCACAAGGCACTTTGAGAACTTCAGGTAAGAGAAAATCAAACTTTCTCCATTTTTTCCCTTGGGTTAAGGTAGAGAATGTCCCTGTACAGAATTTCCCCATCCAAGATCCCCACTTTGCCTCTGTCCATCCCCCCCCAAGACCTGCAGCCTAAGTTGCCTCCATAGCAGTGATTGCAGAATCGGAATCCATCATGGTTTCTTTATTATTATTATTATTATTAACCATTTTTAAAATTGTTCTTAGAGGAAGAAAGGGAGAGAGAGAAGCATCCGATGTGAGAGAAACATCAATGTGAGAAAGAAACATCGATTAGTTGCCTCTCGCAATCACCCAGACCAGAAATTGAACCCGCAACCTGTGTATGTGCCTTGACGGGAAATTGAATCCACCACCTTTTGGTATACGGGATAACTGAGCCTCACTGGCCAGGGCCCCGTCATGGTTTCTTAGTGAATCTTGCCCTTGTGTTCACTTAGCATCTGTCAGCAACAAACATGGGAAGCGTGGCCCATGGCTGGGATGTCATCTCCCCTCCCCATTCCCCATTCTTCTAGAACTATGCTCTCATCAGATTCTTTCCCACTTGCTCTAGGATGAAAGTGTCTCCAGTCTTTGCCTGCCTAGCTCTGGGCCTGGCCTTCATCCTTGGTAAAGGATCTGCCTCAGACCATCGTCAGCTTGAGGCGGCCCAAATGGTCACAGATTTTGGAATGAAGGTGTTTCAGCAGGTGGCCGAGGCCTCCAAGGACAGTAATGTGATTTTCTCACCTTATGGGGTGGCCTCAGTCCTTGCCATGCTGCAGCTAACAACCAGAGGAGAAACCAGGCAGCAGATCCAAGCAGCAATGCAATTCGATATTGAAGGTGAGAGATGGGCAAAGTAGGAGGCAGGCACTCATGCAGCCTTCACAGAACTAGGGTGTAACCAATCAAAAGCAGAGGAAAGGCCGACTCCAGCTTAGCTGAGCCAACACCTGTACTGCATGTCATAGGGACCACCATACCCGGTGTCACTTGACCCTTGACCAGTCGCAAGGTGTACAGGCCAGTGGATTTGGTGTAAAACAACCTTGCATCACCACTTATTAGCTGCATAATCTTAACCCCTAGCATAATCTTAACTCATCTCACTCATTAACCCCTCTGGGGCAAATTAAGGGCAGAAAGAGACAGAGAAACAAGGCTCAGTTTGCTCATGAACAAAATGGGGATAATAAAAGTACCTAGCACAGACGGCTGCTGTAAGGATTAAACAGAATTGTCTATATGAAATGCTTTGCATAGCTGTTATTATTATTAAGAGAAAAATGTAGGGTTCATAACTTAAAAACAGAAAAATATTCTAATCCAAACAAAGGATTAAGACCTGAGATTTTTGAGAAAAAGAGGGAGATGCAAAAGAGATTAAGATTTGGAATAAAATCTCCCTCTAGAGCAGAGGTTCTCAACCTGCGGGTCGAGACCCCTTTGAGGGTCGAACGACCCTTTCACAGGGGTCACCTAAGACCATCGGAAAACACATATATAATTACATATTGTTTTTGTGATTAATCACTATGCTTTAATTATGTTAAATTGGGGTCACCACAACATGAGGAACTGTATTAAAGGGTCATGGCATTAGGAAGGTTGAGAACCACTGCTCTAGAGAAACCTAGGGGAGCAGAAGAGCCCATCCATGAGGGAGGGTTGGCCCAGCTGGGACCCCTTGGTTGAACGTGAGCCTGATGTGTCCTTTCCTTCCTCCGGCACAGAGAAGGGTATGGCCCCTGCCCTTCGTCAACTGTACAAGGAACTCATGGGGCCATGGAACAAGGATGAGATCAGCATCGCCGATGCCATCTTCGTCCAGCGGGATCTGAAGCTGGTTCAAGGTTTCATGCCTCACTTCTTCAGGCTGTTCCGCACCACAGTCAAGCAGGTGGACTTTTCAGAGATTGAGAGAGCCAGGTTCATCATCAATGACTGGGTGAAGAGACACACAAAAGGTGAGCAGGCAAGGAAAGGAAGCCGGGCCCAAGGGCCTGCCAGGAAAGGGGTTATGGGAACAAATCCCACATATACCAACCTCTCCCTTTCAGCATTCTTTTCTTTGTAGGCAGAAGGTCAAGGGATTTAAGAATCAGTGTCATAGTTTTCATAATTAGGTCTTCTCATGAACCAACTCAAAAGGCAGCCCTAAAAAGTGCTGTACAACGTCATTAGCATGGTAATAACCATGATAAGGAGCACACACACACCCCTTCAAGACTACAGCTTAGGGAGCAAAATAAGGGAAGACTTAAGTTTCCAGGTCTGATCCTAGACAGGATCCCAGGCTCAAGAAAGTGTGGTGAGCTGGGGGGCTTTCTGAGATCCTTAGGCAGATGAAGCAGGTTGAAAACAGCTAGATTGGTTTATCTAAACCCCCAGACTATCTTCTGACTGGATCACTTCAATTGACACACATCCATTTGAAGCCTGCGAGTTGAAGAGAACTTGTCTAAGAGGATTAAGAAAAGATCTAGCTCCTGATCACCTGGTTTTCCCATAGGCATGATTAGTGACTTACTTGGTGAAGGGGCCGTGGACAGTCTGACACGCCTGGTACTAGTGAATGCCCTGTACTTCAATGGCCACTGGAAGACACCCTTCCCAGAGTTGGGCACCCACCACCGCCTCTTCCACAAGTCCGATGGCAGCACTGTCTCGGTGCCCATGATGACTCAGACCAGCAAGTTCAACTACAGTAAGTGCAAGACTCCCTTCCCCAAACCCTGTACCTACTGGACCCCATCCCTGGGTGTTCCCCTCTAAGGGAGGAGAAACCCTAGAATATACCTCAGCTTTAGGAAACACTTCCCAAATAGGAGACACTAGGATAATTGGAGCAGCTGAAAATAGCTGTATCTTATCCAAGATGAAGCTGAAACCCAGCAGTTCCCTCAGGCCCATGTTTGGCCACTTGACCTCATCTCACATCCTCATGTGGCCCACAAATCCTGCTGTGGGAAGGGTTATGTGGAAGTTGAGATCCAGGAGAAGAGGACTGGAATGAATTAGTGGCTGGATATGGGGAAGCAGATGTGAATATAAAGACAGAAAGAGACAGAGAAACCAGAAGAAACGGAATTGGCAGGAAATAAGGGAAATGGAAATGAAAACATTGAATAGGGGAGCTGTGGGTGTGGGAGCCTCAAAAGCCAGAACGGAAAGCTGGCTTCCAAAAGAATGGAGAGGACAGGAGAACTAGTTGAAAATCTAGTGCTGGGTTAGAATCAACAAGAGCCGGAATCATTTTCAATGCGCCATCTTGGTGTCTTCACAGCTGAGTTTTCCACCCCTGATGGCCATTACTACGACATCTTGGAGTTGCCCTACCATGGGGACACTCTCAGCATGTTCATTGCTGCTCCCTATGAAAAAGAGGTGCCTCTCTCAGCCCTCACCAACATTCTGGATGCCCAGCTCATCAGCCAGTGGAAAGGAAATATGACCCGTCTGCCCCGCCTCCTGATTCTGCCCAAGTAAGCCACCCTGCTGCTCCAGCCACATTTGCCATTGCCCTAATCCCCTCATCTCCCGCCTCTCCTCTCTCCTGAAAACACAGCCCCGTGTTGAGTTTCCCAAATGTGATGTTTGCAGGGCAGGGACATGTGTGGGAGGCTGATGGGAAACTGCCTGGGTTTGATTAAGATTCCTCTCATCATCCCTCCTCCCATTTCTGCTAGAGGGCAAGGAGGGGTTTTCTAGACTATGCCCCTGCATATGCCTCCCTCAGAATATCCCACAAAAGCCAGCCAAAGGAAGAGCCAGAGAAATACTAGAGGTGGGAGGCTAAATCTGCCTTTACCTTTTTATGAATGCCCCTCACTCCCACCCCATCTTCTCAAGTCAACATCCAAAAATGGGAACAAAAGGAATCACTTCTGCAGATGGAGCAGCTGGAATTATAGTGTCTAACAGATTTTTTAAATCCTTCTGCAGAAGCAGAGGGTGGAGAAGGCTAGGGCTGGGTAATTCCAGAATTGTAGGAAAGCCTCCCACCATGCTTACCCCAAATTTCCATATACTTTCATTTGAGGCCCTAGGAAAGAGGAGAATTTAGTTGGTTAGTGTTCTCTCTCTCTCTCTCTCTCTCTCTCTCTCTCTCTCTCTCTCTCTCTCTCTCTCTCCCTCCTTCCCTTCCTCCTTCCCACCCAAGAATGGAAGTAATTAGTTATGGGGAGCAGAGAACAGCCCAAAGCCTCACTGCTTGAGTCTTCTTCTGGTTAGCTCTCAGAAACACAATCTACAGACCAGAATTTTCCCTAAGACAAAATAAACTACTGTCTTACTTGAGAAAAGTAATTAGTCATAAGAATGTTCATTAATATTAGACCTCTAGCAAGCAGAGACCTTGAAATCACAAGCCTCCCTCTTCTAATTTCACATCAGTCCCAATCCTATCAGGCTGCCAGGGTGATACCCGGTAGGGACGGGGAGAGGTGGCCGGAGGTAGCCTGAGCTTGAGCTGTTTTCTGCTCCTGTCTATAGGTTCTCCCTGGAGAGTGAAGTTGACCTCAGGAGGCCCTTGGAGAACTTGGGGATGACCAACATCTTTAGTCCAAGCCAGGCGGACTTCTCGAATTTTTCAGGTAAGAGATTTTCCTTTCATTTCTTATCCGGGTGGGCTGTGCGGCCCCTTAGAGGATAAAGGAGCTGTTCCCGGAAAACCACAGCTGATCTACTCTTGTATCCACTCCTGTTTCAGATCAAGAGCCTCTTTACGTATCGCAGGCACTGCAAAAAGTGAAGATCAAGGTGAATGAAAGAGGCACGGAGGCATCCTCCTCTACAGGTGAGTCAGGCTCAGGTGAGGCCTGGCAAGTCTTGGCCCAAGGCTGACAGGAGGGGTCCCTATGGCACCTACACCTGGGATGAACTCCCTCTGCCCTGCTTCACCAGGCCTCACAGAGCAGCACTTCCTGTGCGGGGAGTATTGCCCTTTCTTCCTTGGTGTTTCTCAGCCAGGAAAAATGGGCCTGCTTTCCCTGGAACCCCATTCCCTTACTCCAGTGGCTCCTGAGGTCCTCTGAATGTGAAAGACCTCCCAAAGGAAAGCCTGGGTTGTTCTCACGGTGGCTAGTCACCTTAAGGAACTTGGTTCTCAATATGCCCTAAAAGGGTTTAGATAAATGTCTGTTTGAAGGAGAGCAGCTGATGGATCTCCACCAAGCTCCTGGAAGAAACCAGGCCTCAGGAGACTTCCCTACACTTTTAAGGTTCAGGTCCAGGAACCAGTGCCTACTTCCCTCTGTTCTAAGACATTGTCCCTTCTCTTCCAGCCATTACCGTTTCAGCCCGAATGGCCCCTGAGGAGATCATCATGGACAGACCCTTCCTCTTTGTGGTGCGGCACAACCCCACAGGTGAGCCCGAGGCCACAATGCACCACCATTCCAGCACTGGTCCAGACAGGTGTAGACACCCTCTTACCCTAGGACTCTAGGCAAGGAATCCATAACTCTGTTCCTCTTCCCTCCTCAAAGGCAGTGCTCTCTCATAGATGGAGTGCTGTGCCAGGACCCCAGTCCTAGCTTAGTCACTAAAGCAGCTGTGACTCCAGACATCTCACTCATCTTAGTTCTCCCATAACTACAAGCTTGGTGAGCTCTGCCATTCCTTCCGGTTCTCATTTCCCACGATTCTTCCGTCCTCAGGAACGGTCCTTTTCATGGGCCAAGTGATGGAACCCTGACCATGAAAAAAGAAGTTCTCAACTGGGACAGAACTGGAGATGTATCAGAGAAGAAGAAACTGCGAAGAAAATAACTTTTAATTAGCCTTTCTGGAGAAGAGAAGATATTCGCTTTTTTTTTTAAATGGTAAATCTGGCTTTTAGAACTCAGCCTCTCCAAGGGAGAAAAGGGGACCTTCCGATAAAACCCCCCAGTAGAGACCCTGGCAGGGACTGCTGAAGCATTGCTCCCCGGAGGTCTCCAAATCCGACTGTAAAACTCTCAGAGCCACGTGTGCAGCTGCTTCTGCCCATCACTCTGCCTTTTCGGGTCTTCAGATCTGGATCCCACTGAGGCCCTGGCAGATGGCACCGCAAGGCTTACGGAGAAACTGTTCCAGTCACGTGGCCCTCACTCTTGCACTGTCTGCCACTGCTGAGGAGGCTGGCGTCAGGCCAGAGAAGACCAATGGAAGAAACACCTTTCATTGCAAGATCCATCCTTCTCCAGCACAGAGGGGCTGTGACCAGTTGCAGGGTCTCACCCTGGCCTGGCTGTCTCCCTCCCCAGAAACAGTGAGCATCTATTATTTCTGAGTGTAGGTGACTTGTTTACTTATAGAAGCAGGTTTCTGCTTCCCACAAACTTTATTTTGCAGGAATAGAGGAAGGTGTGCTCTAATCTCCTAGTGGGGAGGGTAGGATGACAGAGGTGTGCTTGAATATTTATCACTTTCTTGTGTGCTTGTTAGAGAGAAAGAGGACTATTTAACAAAAAAGCATATTATTTAAACCTGCTTAGTGTTCCTTTGTGATCTGTGTGATTGCATCTCAGGAGTCTGGTCTCTTAGCTGCCACACCCCTCTGGGCGGCGAGCGTGAGGGGCCCACACTGCCACCTTGTGGCTGCCCCGTCGCTCTTCTTTCCTTTCCTTTCCACTTGGTGGATTAGGACTCCTGCCAAGATTACCCAACTTCCCACTTTAGGGACCCAAAGGATGTGGTGGGTGAGAGAGATTAGAGTGAGGGCAGAGGGATTTTAAAATTTTCCAATGCATTTAGGAGCAGGAGTGCAAAGGGATGCACGACCTAGCAGGACAGAACTTTCCCCCAATTATAGGGTGACTCACAGCTGCATCGGTGACTCACTTCAGTGTGTCATTTCCGGCTGCTGTGTGTGAGCGGTGGACACGTGAGAAAGGGAGAGAGAAAATGAGGGGGAATGAAAGAGAGACAGTGAATTCAGGCTCAACTACCCCAGTTAGGTAATTTTCCTGAAAACCAGCTAGCTAAGGGGGGTGGCATGAAGACCAATTTGTTGAAGAATTGCACATAGATGTCAAATGAATGCATCCTAATAGAATCCTCATCATCCCAATGTGTTCTTCAGCAAAAAATCTTGGTCCTTTGTTGTTGTTGTTTTCTTTCTTCATTATGCACTGGACAGTGATAGCCACAACTATACTCACAAGGAGACCCAAATGTAGGGTCCAATGTTTTTGAAATTGTGTTGAATTATATGCTTTTTCACTTATGATATATAAAAAGTAAAAATGTTTTTTAAAACAATAAAGTAAATAAAGAAAAAGAATATTCCAAAAACAGTCCCCGCCTTTATTTTCCACGTCTCACACAGTACAAAATCAAAATTCTGTCAGTTCACAGCCGTCTCAGGTGAAAGGGATCCTTGGGAAACATACGCGCATGGACCAGGCACGTTGACTTGCCACAGCAAGTCCACAGGACTGGCCTCAGGGGCTCCACAAGAAGGCTCCAGGGACATACTGTGTGGGCATGATTCTCCCCTGGGCATCATCCTCAAAAAGGGAAAGGGAGTTCCTCCAAACACCTACCACTCAGACAGGCCTGCACACACCCACTGTCCCCCTGGGTTTCCATCTCTATTCACACCATTTCTTTCTACCACCCAATGCTGCTATCCCCTGCACCTACCCCCTCCCCATTTATCAAAATCCAGACTAAGTCCATTTGCTCCAACCAGCATTTCCATGGATTCAGTCAACATCCTCACACTCCCCATGGCATTTACTGATTTTTTCCTTTTCCTGGAGTGTAACCGTGCTTTTATTCATGTCTGCTCGGGTGTGCATACTACCCCCACCCCCATTTACATATCAGGTTCCTTGAAAACCAAAGCTCTTTTGGTATATACATTCTTCATATCGTCCTTAAAATGACATCCTAAAAAGTATTTTATTCTAGTATCTTGAAGACTCTTCCCAGAAGATATTAGTTTCTTTCTTTTTTTATTGTTGAAAGTATTACATATGTCCCTCCCCCCCCCCCCCCACCTATCTGCGCTATAGTACTAATTGACTCCCTCCCCGCGGAGCAAAATCAAGATAATTATTTCTCAATTGATTACCTTTTCACACGGTCATAACCGTTTAGTAGTTGGCATTCCCATCACATAACTATTGACAGTGCTCTCTTAATCAAATACGAGAGGGTGGCTCAGGGCGTTCGACCGGATGTCCTACACACCTTACACTAGACTTTTAGTCAGTCTGTCCCTGCCACCACGCTTTTACCCTACATGCATTATAGGAATAGTCACGTTTTAAGTCCGCATACACTTAGACGATGTATTACCCTCAACATTCCAAACTTTTTTTGGGCCACGTACTAAGACTCTGAGAAACAGACCACCGCCACAAACGCCCCACGTAAATGTCATGAAGAATCTGAGTATTGTTTCGTAAATATTTA